CGGCCATTTTAAAAAGCGCCCTCAATTGCCTCCCGAAATCTTCACATTAATAACTTTAGCTAGTTATACTTTACTCTTAATATTACATATTCAAAAGTTGGTCAAACCTACCTCTTCTGTGCTTATTTTACCTATATATATGTAGTTTATTGGATTTTGGCGGCCATTTTAAAAAAAGCGCCCTCACGCGAAAGTTCTCAGGTTACGCCCCTTTTACCTCACATATTCTGATTCCCCATAAAAAAACTGGTCTAAAAAACCATATGAGAATTTCTACCTCTCCAAGTGGCACCTATCTCAATTATAGCCTGGTCTAATATCTGTGTTGGCTGAATTGTTTGAAGTACATTGGTTTGCTGGAGTTGATGACCAAGAGGTGTGCTAATTGTGTTTTAAATCAAGTACAGTACAACCAGAAGACGTGAAGTACAGAAGTCAGCTACAGTATAGTAAAACAAATACTATACATCGTCACAACTAATATACAACGTTACAATATTCAACACTTTCAAATGGCATCTTACAGTAATTAGGCCTATTTTTCATTTTTTTCCTTCGGAAGAGGGAGGGTGACCCATTCCAAACCCACTCCCGCTCAGGCAACAAGATTCAAAAATTGAAATTGAAAGCTGTTAAATGCTAATTCAAACACTTTTAAATGGCATCTTACAGTAATCATTTTCATTTTTTTCTTAGGTAGGGAGAGGGACGCCCCCTCATAAGCCAACCCCGCTCGAGCCAAAGGCCCTCAGATTTCGCTCCGCGACATGTTCCTCCACCTATTACTAAAACTTATTTCATTTCAAAATGACACCCCTATATTTAATGATTGAAATAAATATATACTGTATCAAGTTCGTTTAATAAAAACATCACTTTTTTTTTCAAACCTCCGTGGTTTAAACTCCATGGACGTGGTCAACGTACGTGCACATTAACAAATTCGGGGATTCCCCGTGTGCGTTGATTTGCCGTCGATTCGATCGTGCGTTGTTCAGTAACAACTTTTAACAAGTAGAAATGTCTTTGTTTTTACAAATTATGTTTGCTTAATGTATTTTCACATGACTAAACAACTAAAAGCTTGGAGGAGATATGATTTTCGTTCACCGTTAATTTATGCTACATTCTAAGCTTATCTTGACAACAGAAGGGCCTCTGCAAAGTAGTGCGGTCGTTAGCCTCGGGCACCTCGGAAAATTGAAGAATGCCGACGCTAATTTCGAGGGCTGTAGCAAAGTATTGTAGAGTAATATTCCATTGTATACAAATACAATATTTAGATGATAAGAACGTGTATTCAATTACGTTTTTTTATATGCAAGAAGACTATGTGTAGCTGATAAATAAATAAAAACAAATTATAGAAAAATTAACTCTGACGAAGGACAGTGTTCTCTCCCAAAAAGCTAGGCATTTATCTCACTGGCTGCTTTACTTTTACATTTATATTTTAGCTTTTGATAACCAATTTTTAATCTCATTGTGTTTTTTTTTTCAGTATTTTTGGATTATAAATAGAAGTTGTTATAATTTAGGCCTATTTATTTTGTTTGTATATTTACAAAGGTAATTAAAAATACCTGCATGAAGAAAAGGCTGTTATGTAATGAAAGTAAGAAAACTAGTTAGTAGATAGAATCAGATTGCTAAACTGCAATGCAATTGAATGTAAATAGTTTAAAAAGAAACTGTGAAAGAAAATACATAATTACAGTAAAAACATTGTATGATGTGCTATCCATTTATTTATTGTTATTGAAAACTAAATTAACCACAAAAGTGTTTGACTGTTGGATTTTTACTTTAAAATAGTGTTTAATACATTCTAAAATCAATCATTGCAACACAATTCAAAACTTAATATTCAACACTTTCAAATGGCATCTTACAGTAATTAGGACTATTTTTCTTTTTTTTTTTCCTTCGAAGAGAGAGGGTGACCCATTCCAAACCCACTCCCGCTCCACCCGATACACCAGCTGTCTCGCTCTACAGAGTCAACACTCCTGGAAGTTTTGGCTCTGTAGAACGTGACAGTGGCGTCCCATAGAACATGTTAACACTGTCTCTGCTCTTTAGCCATTCAACACTGGAATATTGTGATTTCAACACCATGGCCTCTCTACAACGTGGTGCAGTTCCCCATGTTGCCAGAAAATATCCAGAGTAATTCCCCTGCCTTAAACAAAATTTATGGTGCAATAAACATTTCCAAATAATATAAAACAATGAAAAATGTATAAACTATTAATTGTTACGATTCTGATGAAATTTTAAAGTAAATCTATGCTATGTATCACAATATTAATAGGGGTTGAATTTTTTGGTCAACCTGGCAATGGTTGTATTTTACATGCCGCCCGGCCAACACAACGTGCGTGCTGTGGGTATCGTTGATCATGATGCTAGAGCTAAAATATGGCCTATTAGGGCTACTTTTGGCTTTTTATTATCAACAGTAAGTATTAAATTAACATATTTAGAAACAGCTAAAAAGACAGACTCAACGAGATATGACCAGTATAAACATTACTGTGCTATTTTTTTGTTGGGCCTAGAGAGAGTTGAGGCTTTAGGTCTAGGCCTAGACCTAGAGAAGGGTGTAGGCTAGGTGGCCAGGCTGTATAGGCTCGTATTGGGTTGCCTGTAGAGTTAGGGCCTAATATTTTGTATTTCTTTGTCCAACCTGGTCTAGCATACTGTAGGCCATAGGCCTAGGCTAGGCTACATACTCCTAAGGCCGGCTAGGCCTACAACTGAGTTAAACCTAGGCCTAGCTAGTTCTCAGGCCTAACAACTGGGCCTGGGCCTAGATACTAGTAGTCTAGGCCTAAGCCTTTTTGCTAGAATATGCCATCGTACAAAAGTACAGCCTACGCTAGGCCTACTATGATAGGCCACACTACTCATTCCTGCCCTAAGTCATCCCCTCCCCTGCCTTTATAAGTGTTCTTTAGAT